GCGGACGCCTACAATCCCAGCTACTCAGGAGGCTGAGGCAGGAGAATCACTTGAACCCAAGAGGCGGAGGTTGCAGTGAGCCAAGATAGAGCCACTGCACTCCAGCCTGGGCAACAGGGTGAGACTCTGTCTCAAAAAAATAAATAAATAAATAAATAATTGGATGGGTGTGGTGGCGTGCACCTGTAGTCCCAGCTACTCAGGAGGCAGAGGCCTGAAAATCGCTTGAACCCAGGAGGCGGAGGTTGCAGTGAGCCAAGATAGCACCATTGCACTCCACTGTGGGTGACAGAGTGAGACTCTATCTCAAAAAAAAAAAAATTAAAATATTCAGGGAAAGAACAAACTGCATCTGCTTTGAATACATATGGACATTTGTTCTTGTCATTTTCCCCTTAAAAATACAGTATAACTATTTACATAACACATAGTATTAGATGTTATAAGTAATGTAGAAATGATTTAAAATATATGGGAGGGTGGTGCATAGGTTATATGCAAATACTATGCTATTTTATATCAAGGACCTGAATGAACACCCTCAGAATTTGATTTCCATGGGACGTCCTGGAGCCAATCCCCAACAGATACTGAGAGAAGACTATATTATATAGATCTATAATCATCTATATTCCGTTAGGGACTGATGGGGGAGGAGTCTTTTCAGTTAAAGATTAAAAGGGAAATACAAGGGAATAAATAAGATTAAAGGAAATCTTATTTCCTTACTGGCTAAACTTTCCAAGAGTATAATTATGCAGCAACAGTTAGGGCCCACGTGTTAAGAATAGTCAGGAAATCCTGTCTCCAGATGCCTGAGGATTGCTATCTATCTGTTTGATGACTTACTGTAGAAATCTCTAGGCCCCAAGTTGATATTCTTGTCTCCACCAGACACCAGACTTTGTGTGATTTCTCTATCAGCACTTCCTTCTGCCTCCCAACTACTTGCCATTTTTATATCTGTAGTTCTGTAGTTCTTTAAAGCAAATTTAAATCATTCTGTTCCTTCTGCATGTTCATTGAGGGCTCAGTACACATAAGTCAGGCAAGTAACAATTTATAGCACTTTATAGTCTACAAATAATGAAAGCTAGCATATTAGCTAAGAGTTTGGGCTTTTTGAGATAAATTGTTTAGGTTCAAAGCCCCAACCTGCTACTTACTATCTTTGTGACCTTGGGGAAGATATTTCTATTTGTTAGGCCTTTATTTCCTTGTCTGTTAAATGGAGGTGATAACTATATCCCTTAGGATCTCTATACAGTTAAAGGAGATAATCCATGTTTAGAACATAGTACATGGTAAGTACTCATAAGTAGCACATGGTAAATGTTAGTTGATAATATAACCAATACTATACTTGATAAAAAGAGCTATTCCTCTACAGTATCCCATTTGAATTTTTCAATAATCTTTTAAGGTATTTTAGTATTATCAGCCCCATTTTATAGATCGACCCTAAGGCTTTGAGATGCAACTTGCCCCAAGTCATACAAGCATTCCTGGCAGGGCTAGGATTAGAATTGGGTTGTGTAGGCCAGGCGAGGTGGCTCATGCCTGTAATCTCAGCACTTTGGGAGGCTGAGGCGGGTGGATCACGAGGTCAAGAGATCGACTCCATCCTGGCCAATATGATGAAACCCCTTCTGTACTGAAAATACAAACATTAGCTGGGCGTGGTGGCACATGCCTGTAGTCCAGCTACTCAGGAGACTGAGGCAGGAGAATCGCTTGAACCCGGGAGGCAAAGGTTGCAGTGAGCCAAGATCATGCCACTGCACTCCAGCCTGATGACAGAGCGAGACTTTGTCTCAAAAAAAAAATAATAATTGGATTGTGAACATAGTTCCTCTAGGGTTTGTAGTTAGACTGGGAGGGAATAGGTTTCATCTCAAAAGCCAGCCCTAAACAGTTGAAATGGTTGTTCGGAGTCCTGTTTTGAGAATTCTCAAAGCAGGTCCTAGATCATTAAGAAAAGAATGCCTGATGGATGAGCAGTATTTGCCATGGGCTCAGAAACATGTAGTGGGATTGTGTCCTTGCTTTCCTTTTGTGTTTGTTTGTTTTCTCCTAGCTAAAGTTTCTCGTTAATCCAAGGATTTCTTTATAAATAGAAATTTTAGTAATTTTTGATTTTAGTAATTTATAGAATCATTTTAGCCTTACAGGTTGTCTAGAGAATTGTTATTATTTCTAAAATAGTTTGTAACTAAGGCAGTTGATAGAGGGGCAGCTCTTACAAGCTGTTTCTCTGTAATAACTCTTCACATTTGCTATTCTCATATAGGCACACAGATTGAGAAATCTAGTAGTCACCATTTATTTCTAAATTAAGTTTGGACACTTGTTTTAAGTACTAATTGCAGTTTGAGAAAGAATTGAGAAAACCTTATTTTTACATATGAGCCAAATACTAATCTCCTTGAAAGTCAGAGAAGTTGTTTTGGATATGTCAAATAAATATCACTTTATTTATTTATTCATCCATTCATTCATTCATTTTTGAGATGGAGTCTCACTCTGTTGGCCAGGCTGGAATGCAGCGGTGTGATCTCTGCTCACTGCAACCTCTGCCTCCTGGGTTCAAGCGATTCTCCTGCCTCAGCCTCCCAAGTAGCTGGGATTACAGGTGCCCACCACCACGCCGGGCTTTTTTTTTTTTTTTTTTTTTGTACTTTTTAGTAGAGATGGGGTTTCACCATGTTGGCCAGGCTGGTTTTGAACTCCTGACCTCAAATGACCTGCACACCTCGGCCTCCCAAAGTGCTGGGATTACAGGCATGAGCCATCACACTCGGCCAGTACCACTTTAAATATACACAAAAACTAGGTTTCTATGGAGTTGGCATATTTGATTCACCCAACTTGGACTTCCTGGTTTTATTTTAGCCAGTGTTATCCCATCCCTTATTCTTGGTCTTATTATGGGGAAGTAGCAACTTATATTTTAAATGTTGACATCACTTAAGTCCTGGAAAAGCTAGAGTTAGCTTCTGGGTTCCACCTTCTCTACGGGAAAATGCCTCAGAAAAAAAGCTGGCCACAACTCTAGGTTTATCTCTATACCCAGCTCGGGCTTGGCATTGGAATACTTGGGTAGTCCTATTTCTCAGTATGAACTACCTTTGGGGAATATGTGCAAACAAAGCTCATGAAGTCTGAGAACTTGGTACTCCATCCCCTAGCTGCAAAGAAATACAGGAGAGATGGTAAAGGAATGCACAATAGCAATTTTCCCAGTTATAACTCTATGGATTTCATTGGACCATTGCAGTCATCTCATCTCCAGTTCTTGCGAAAATACTTCAGGGATATAGAGAATTTCCCACCTCCTCTGGAAGTCCTGGCCATCTTTAGACAATTCTGACAAATTTTCCCTTTTACTTCTACTTCCCGTATAGGATGGCTAAGCAAGGAAGAAAATCTGCCTCTCAGAAAACACTTATATTCCACACTGACTACTGTGGAACTGATCTGCTCTGATTTCTTGAGATTTATTGATTTAAATTTGAGAGTTATTTTATTTTTATTAAATATGCCCAGGCAAATAACCAAGGTTAAATAAATATCTGAAAGAGCTTTGTGGGAAGTATAAAACTATTTGGGGAGAAAAGAATTTTCTCCCAAAAAGCTTTCTAGGAATGTAACTTGTAAGAACTCTGAGACGCATACTCTCTAGAGAAAAAAATATATATATTTATGAGAAGTCAAGGTCTTTAATCTTTGTAATTAGAATAGATATTGCTCAGTTTTTAAAAATCATGTACTGATCACATTTCAGTTTAAATTACTTTTAAAATTCCATTGTGCAGAGTCAATCTTTAGGAGTACTTACTGCAAATGGTTAGAGAAAAAAAGCGTACTGTTTCTTACAGAATTAGTATGAAGTGCCTTATGAGACGTAATTCATTTATTTAGTGTTTTAAAAAGAAAAATGTTAGCCAGGTGTGGTGGCTCACACTTGTAATCCCAGCACTTTGGGAGGCCAAGGCGGGTATATTGCTTCAGGTCAGGAGATCAAGACCAGCCTGGCCAACATGGTGAACCCCCATCTCTACTAAAAATACAAAAATTAGCCAGGCGTGGTGGCACACACTTGTAGTCCCAGCTACTCAGGAGGCTGAGGCAGAAGAATTGCTTGAACCTGGGAGGTTGCTGTGAGCTGAGATTGCACCACTGCATTCCAGCCTGGGTGACAGAGCAAGACTCTCTCTCAAAAAATAAAAAATAATAATAATAATAATAAATAAATATAAAAATGTCGACCAGGCACGGTGGCTCACACCTGTAATCCTAACACTTTGGGAGGCTGAGGCTGGTGGATCGCCTGAGGCCAGGAGTTCAAGACCAGCCTGGCCAACATGGTGAAACCATGTCTCTACCAAAAAAACAAAAATTAGCCGGGCATGGTGTCGAGCACCTGTAATCCCAACTACTCAGGAGGCTGAAGCAGGAGAACCACTTGAACCCAGGAGGTGGAGGTTGCAGTGACCTGAGATTGTGCCACTGCACTCCAGCCTGGATGACAGAAGCGAGACTCTGCCTCAAAAAATATAAAATAAAATAAAATAAAATTTCATTCAAAAGATAATCTTGTTTTGTTTATTATTGTCTTTTTAGGTGATATAATCCAAACATCTAATATAAGTATGTTTTTCAAGCAGTTCTCAGCTCTGAACTCCTTTTGTAACCTCCCTTTCCCAAATGGAAAGAGTTCATTTTCTGAGCAGAATTTTAGTAGTTTTTGCTGGAATGAAGAACAACAAACATATTATAGATTTAGGCTTTTATACCTCTTTCATACTTAATGTTTGATCTTTCAGTCTTTTCCTGAGACTTCACTTCTGCCTTTGTTAGTAAAGCCTTCTCTCTGGGAGTTTTGTTAAATCAAAGATACCTTATTATTCCCATAAAATTTTATCTGCCATGTTGAAGATAGGAGTCCCTTTGCCCTTATCATTTCATGGATATGCATTTAGTATTTTTGGTTGTTTCAGACTGACCCCAATTCTTGGCATTCAGAAACATTCTCAGGAAGGTATGGTGTTTACACGGTTTCTAGACACCCTGCTTGAAGAATTACATCTAAAGAATGAAGACCTTGAAAGTTTAACCATCATATTTAGAACCAGCTGTTTACCAGAGTGGTAAGTTGGATTGTGTTTTATTCTGTTTTTTATTCTTTATTTGTTGCCTACGTGGATTGGCTTTTTTTTTTTTTTTAATTGGAAATTGTTAAAACCAAATTGTTAAAACCTCAAGATGCCCTCAGTTTGCTAAGGAAGGACATGGTATCCCTTAGTTCTCAGCTGCCTCAGTCACTTCCTGTCTACTTACTTTGTGCCCCATATTTGTTGCATTCCTCTCTTGTAGGCTACAACAGTTCTGTTTTTTGCAGTCCAGGAAACGCCGCATTATCAGTTTCATACTCAAGCATAGGCTATCCCACATGTCCCATCTGATAAGTTTCTTCCCAGGAAGTAGCAGTTTACTTCAACCCAGCTACTGCATTGATCCATTGGGAACATTCTCATCCTACTGCCCCTTTCAGTGAAATCACCCCCTACCCAGCCAATACCTTAGTCATTTCATGTACAGATAAGCAGGTGAATTTACAAGTCTGACTTTGTTGAATCCTAACTCTGTTCTGAGATACACAGCTCTCTCCTACTATCCCAAACCCTTTCCTCTTTCAGAACTGCCAATCGGAATATTCCCTTCCATGTCCTGGCTTAATCATAACTTTCCATCTATTCCTTCCTTCCTTCTCATTTCACACAATACCAAAGTGCATGCTCAGATAGATACTGATTTAATGTTATAATTGAGGGAATTCATCCTAAACTACCAATGAGATTCTCTCAGGGAGCATTTTCTTTTTTCTTCTTTTTTTTTTTTTTAAACATTTTTTAAATTATAAAAGCAATACAAAATGTTGTAAAATAAAAATTAAGCAGTACAGATTGCATTAAAAGGAACATTCCCCCTCCACCTCTGCCTCTAATCCCATCTCTTTCCCAGAAGCATACTTGATGTCTGTCATTTAATATTTCTTTTTATTTTTTGAATTTTTATAAAACAATCTTTTTTTTTTTTTTTTTTTTTTTTGAGACAGAGTCACCAGGCTGGAGTGCAGTGGCGCCATCTCAGCTCACTGCAACACCTGCCTCCTGGTTCAAGCGATTCTCCTGCCTCAGCCTCTCTAGTAACTGGGACTACAGGTGTGCACCACCATGCCCAGCTAATTTTTGTATTTTTAGTAGAGATGGGCTTTCACCATGTTGGCCAGGATGGTCTTGATCTCTTGACCTCATGATCTACCCACATTGGCCTCCCAAAGTGCTGGGATTACAAGCGTGAGCCACTGCACCCAGCCTATAAAACAATCTTTAACCAAATCTCTAAATATACAGGAAGGATATTTGAAAGAGGTGATTTTGGTGATTAAGAAAGAATACCGGACCGGGTGCGCAGTGGCTAATGCCTGTAATCCCAGCACTTTGGGAGGCTGAGGCAGGCGGATCACCTGAGGTCAGGATTTCAAGACCAGCCTGGCCAACATGGTGAAACCCTGTCTCTGCTAAAAATACAAAAATTAGCTGGGCGTGGTGGCAGGTGCCTGTAATCCCAGCTACTTGGGAGGCTGAGGCAGGAGAACCACTTGAACTCAGGAGGTGGAGGTCGCAGTGAGCCAAGATTGTGCCACTGCACTCCAGCCTGGGTAACGGTGCAAAACTCCATCTCAAAAAAAAAAAAAAAAAGGAATTAGCACTGTAATTGCCCCTCAACTTATACCCAATGGTCTTTTCAAGTGATCCTGCTACTCTGAGGACACTATATAGCAAAGGCTTTTACTGAAGGCGTGAACTTGGGTTGGTTTGTATAAGCATAGCATTCAAAGGCCCTTAAAGAATACGGAGAGGTTGGAGGTTAAACCAATCATACTCCTCAGTCCATGACATCTTTTGTACACTGGTTGAAAGGTTTCTTGGCTGGGTGCAGTAGCTCATGCCTAAAATTCCAGCACTTTGGGAGGCCAAGGTGGGAGGATCACTTGAGCCCAGAAGTTCAAGACCAGTCTGAGCAACAAAGTTGCCCAGTTTTGTAGAGATCCTGTCTCTACAAAAAATAAAAAAATTAGCAGATATGGTTGCCTACAGGTGGCACCTGCCTGTAATCCCAGCTACTTGAGAGGCTGAGGCAGGAGGATTTCTTGAGCCCAGGAGTTTGAGGCTGCAGTGAGCCATGATCACACCACTGCACTCCAGCCTGGGCACCAGAGCAAGACCCTGACTCAAAAAAAAAAAAAAAAAAAAAAAAAAGAAGTTTCTATTTCAGACTGAGAGCAAACAGTACCTAGCCAGAAGTCCTTCTAAACCTGCTGTAATGAATACATATCAATTAAAAATTATTTTAACTAGCATATTTTAAACTTGTACATAAACAGATGGTGTTAAAGTAGTTTTAAGGACTTTCAACAGTAGATGTTTTAAGTGGACTTAATAGTTCCCCTATGATCATTATTTATTTACATTGTTCATTTGCTTAAGTAATCAAAGGTAAATCTTGGCCCAGATTACTTTGTCAGTATTATAAAGGATTACAAATGAATAAGCCTTATTACATAATTTTCCATATGAGAAATGAAGATGGTTGTGAGTGGAAGGATAGAAGGTTTTTTTTGTTTGCATGATTTTGGTATGCCATGGTAAATTCATTTGAGTCTACAGATTTTAATATCTAGTAACCTTTTCATGATTACTACCTAGTATATTAATATGCTTTCAGCTGTGAATAACGGGAAAAAAATCCATTTCCAACTACCTTTTGTTAATGTGGTATATTAGTTAACTTTTGGCTTAAAGCAACAAACATTTTTTATGTCACAGTTTCTATGAGTCAGGAATCTAGGTGCAGTTGAACTGGGAGCCTCTGGTTCAGGGTCTTTCCTGATGTTACAGTTAAGCTCTCATCCAGCGCTATGATGTCACCTGAAGGCTAGAATGGAAGCTCTCCATTCAAGCTCATTCAGGTGGTTATTGGCAGGAATTGTTGGCAGGATCGCGCTCCTTATAGACTGTTGAACTCAGGGTCTCAGTGTCTCACTGTTGTCTAGAAACCTCCCCTAATCCCATGCCCATAGGCCTCTCTAGAGTGCACCTCACAGCATGGCATGTGGCTTCCCTCAGAGTGAGCCAGTGAGAGAGGATACCCATGATGGAAGCCACAGTCTTTTTGTATTAATAACTAATCTCAGAAGTGACATCCCATCACTTTTGCTGCGTTCTGTTAGTTAGAAACTAGTCAGTAGGTCCAGCCCATACTCAAGGTGAGGGAGAGGATTATACAAGGGCATGAATACCAGGAGACAGCAGCCATTGGGGGATATCTTAGAAGCTGTCTACCAGAGGGGCAAAAATGTTCAGTAGGCTCCAGTTTTATATATAGCATACCACACTGTCTTGGTGAGAGTCTTGAGCTTCATGCTGATTGAGGACACCCCTGAACCAATTCATGGGGTCATGGGAATGCTGTGACGAAATCATTCTGGCAAAGGATGAGGGAAGGAGCTAATGAAATCATTCTGGTCAAGGATGAAGGAAAGAGAAGGGCTTTTCCAGTTGACCTAGATCAGTCAAAACTTAGCCCTCAAGTTGAATATGAAGCTCAGTCTATTCCACCCAAACTGTTGTTGGGTAGAATATACATAATGGGGAAAAAATTGAATGAATATTGACAAGACATACAGTGTCTACAACAGCTAGTAAAATACATATTTTTTGTCGTTTTTTTTTTGGGTTTTTTTTTTTTTTGAGATGGAGTCTTGCTCTGTCACCCGGACTGGAGTGCAATGGTGCAATCTCGGCTCACTGCAATCTCTGCCTCCCGGGTTCAAGCAATTCTCCTGCCTCAGCCCCCCAAGTAGATGGGACTACAGGTGCATGCCACTGTGCCTGGCTAATTCATTTTTTTTTTTTTTTTTTTTGTATTTTTAGTAGAGATGGGGGTTTCACCATGCTGGCCAGGTTGGTCTCAAACTCCTGACTTCGTGATCTGCCTGCCTTGGCCTCCCGATACATGTTTTATTCAAAGTGTCCTTTTTTGCTTCACAGATATATTCCATGAAGACAAAATAGAAGATGAACTTCTATTCACCGTTTCTGGAATTCTAGCCACCATGATGGTCTGGTGGTGACTGATAACTAGTTTTATTCCAAGACAGACCTTTACCTCTTTAAGTTTCAACCTCCCATCTCCCAGTCCCTCAGTCTCCAACTGCAGAGGATGACCTCCCCAGATAGAGGAGAATCATTACTCCAACAAGGATAACCAAGTCTTTGCATTCCTAGCTACAAGGCATAGTATTTTTATTTGAAAATGAATGTTTAAGTATTAAATTGAAACTTGAATGAATATTCAAGAAAATATAATGATGTCTACTTTTTCTGGATGATTCCAGCCATCATATCAGTTTGCCAAAAAAATTGAGAAAATTATGATTTTGACCTCCCAATCTAAATTCTAAATTCTAAAGATCAGTAAACAATTAGGGTAATAAATGCAATTTAAGATGAAGCCATTTGGAAGTCTAGTCCAAAACAGGAAAATCCCAGAACTTTCTGGACTCACGGAAATGTTTTAAATGGAATCTGTAGTTTGTTTGCAGGAGAGACAATTTCTAGAATTTAGATTGCTTTTCAAAATATGTATCAAGTAGGCAAGTTAATAGTTGAGGGGGGCCGCAGACAACTTGGGGAGCTCTACTGGAAGGCCAAGGAGATACTCTTGGACACTGGAGGAAATGACAGCTGCTGAAGCCCAATCATGGAAAAGGACCAGAAAGCAGCCCACTGGAATGGGAAGCTTAGTGGGCAAGGAGGTAGGGATATAATTTCTCTTCTTGGCTCCACCAGTAATTAGCTCTGTGGCCCAGTCACCTAAACCTTCTGGACTTCAGTTCAGGTTGTATGGCAGTAGGCCAGAGAACTGGCAGTCGGCCATAGAATTGGCATATAATCTTTATGGAGAAGGACTGCAAAAACTAAACTTTATCTCTGTGTGGACAAAGGCTACTGTCATCCTGTTGTTACTCTGGGGTCACTTTGACAGTTTTTTTTAAGCTCATTTGATTGTGTAAGGGTCTAACCACAACAGAAAATCATAGTATAATAGAATTAATCAAGTTCAGCAAGGTCACAGGCTACAATAATCAATATACAGAAGATCAATTGTGTTTTCTATTCAGAAAACTCCAAAAATGAAATAAAGAAAATTGTCTTCACAATAGCACCGAAGAGAATTAAATACTTAGGAATAAATTTAACAAAAGAAGTACAAGACTTGTATAATGAAAACTATAAAACATTCGAGAAGGCTGGGCATGGTGGCTCATGCCTTTAGTTCTAGCACTTTGGAGGCAGTGGCAGGAGGACTGCTTGAGCCCAGGAATTCAAGACCAGACTGGGCAACAAAGTGAGACCCTGTCTCCACAAAAATTAAAAATTATAAAAAAAAAAATTGAAGATGGCTGAACAGGAACAGCTCTAGTCTATAGCTCCCAGCAGGATGGACACAAAAGATGGGTGATTTCTGCATTTCCAACTGAAGTACCTAGTTCATCTCACTGGGACTGGTTGGACAGTGGGTGCAGCCCACAGAGGGTGAGCTGAAGCAAGGTGGGGCATCGCCTCACCTGGGAAGCACCAAGGGGTCAGGGGATTTCCCTTTCCTAGCCAAGGGAAGCTGTAAGTGACTATACCTGGAGGAGGGGTACACTCCTGCCCAAATACTGCTCTTTTCCCATGGTCTTCGCAACTGGCAGACCAGGAGATCCCTCTCATGCCTGGTTCAGTGGGTCCCACGCCCACAGAGCCTTGCTCGCTACTAGCGCCAGCACTCTGAGATCGATCTGCGACATGGGAGCTTGGCGGGGTGGGGCGTCCACCATTGCTGACACTTGAGTAGGCGGTTCTGTGCTCACAGTGTAAACAAAGTGGCAGGGAAGCTCATACTGCACGGAGGCCACCACAGCTCAGCAAGGCCTACAGCCACTCTAGATTCCACCTCCGGGGGCAGGGCATATCTGAACAAAAGGCAGCAGACAGCTTCTCCAGACTTAAACATCCCTGCCTGAAAGCTCTGAAGAAAGCAGTGGTTCTCCCAGCATGGCGTTCGAGCTCCAATAATGAACAGACCTCAAGTGGGTCCCTGACCCCCATATAGCCTGACTGGGAGACATCTCCCAGTAGGGGCCAACAGTCACCTCATACAGGTGGATGCCCCTCTGGGACAAAGCTTCCACAGGAAGAATCAGGCAGTATTATTTGCTGTTCTGCAGCCTCCACTGGTGATACCCAGGCAAACGGTCTGGAGTGTACCTCCAGCAAACTCCAACAGACCTGCACTAAGGGGCCTCTCTGTTAGAAGGAAAACTAACAGAAAGGAATAGCATCAACATCAACAAAAATGACATCCACACCAAAACCCCATCCGTAGGACACCAACATCAAAGACCAAAGGTAGATAAAACAAAAAAGATGGGGAGAAACCAGAGCAGAAAGGCTGAAAATTCCAAAAACCAGAACGCCTCTTCTCCTCCAAAGGAACACAACTCCTTGCTAGCAAGGGAACAAAAGTGGACAGAGAATGAGTTTGATGAGTTGACAGAAGTAGGCTTCAGAAGGTCGGTAATAACAAACTTCTCTGAGCTAAAGGAGCATGTTCTAATGCATTGCAAGGAAGCTAAAAACCTTGAAAAAAGGTTAGACGAATGGCTAACTAGAATAACCAGTGTAGAGAAGAGCTTAAATGACCTGATGGAGCTGAAAACCACAGTACAAGAACTTCGTGAAATATACACAAGCTTCAGTAGCCAATTCGATCAAGCAGAAGAAAGGATATCAGTGATTGAAGATCAAATTAATGAAATAAAGTGAGAGGACAAGATTAGAGAAAAAAAGAGTGAAAAGAAACGAACAAAGCCTCCAAGAAATATGGGACTATATGAAAAGACCAAATCTATGTTTGATTGGTGTACCCGAAAGTGATGGGGAGAATGGAACCAAGTTAGAAAACACTCTTCAGGATATTATCCAGGAAAGCTTCCCCAACCTAGCAAGGCAGGCCAACATTCAAATTCAGAAAATACAGAGAACACCACAAAGATACTCCTTGAGAAGAGCAACCCCAAGACACACAATTGTCAGATTCACCAAGGATGAAATGAAGGAAAAAATGTTAAGGGCAGCCAGAGAGAAAGGTCAGGTTACCCACAAAGGGAAGCCTATCAGATTAACAGAGGACCTCTCGGCAGAAACCCTACAAGTCAGAAGAGAATGGGGGCCAATATTCAACATTCTTAAAGAAAAGAATTTTCAACCCAGAATTTCATATCCAGCCAAACTAAGCTTCATAAGTGAGGGAGAAATAAAATCCTTTACAGACAAGCAAATGGCTGAGAGATTTTGTCACCACCAGGCCTGCCTTACAAGAGCTCCTGAAGGAAGCACTAAACATGGAAAGGAACAACCAGTACCAGCCACTGTAAAAACATGCCAAATTGTAAAGATCATCAATGCTAGGAAGAAGCTGCATCAATTAACGGATGAAATAACCAGCTAGCATCATAATGACAGGATCAAATTCACACATAACAATATTAACCTTAAATGTAAATGGGATAAACGCCCCAATTAAAAGACACAGACTGGCAAATTGGATAAAGAGTCAAGACCCATCGGTGTGCTATATTCAGGAGACTCATCTTACGTGCAAAGACACACATAGGCTCAAAGGATGTAGGAAGATCTACCAAGCAAATGGAAAGCAAAAAAAAAAAAAAAAGCAGGGGTTGCAATCCTAGTCTCTGATAAAACAGAGTTTAAACCAACAAAGATCAAAAGAGACAAAAAAGGCCATTACATAATGGTAAAGGGATCAATTCAACAAGAAGAGCTAACTATCCTAAAAATACATGCACCCAATACAGGAGCACCCAGATTCATAAAGCAGGTTCTTAGACACCTACAAAGAGACTTAGATTCCCACACGATATTAATGGGGGACTTTAACACTCCACTGTCAATATTAGATCAACGAGACAGAAAATTAACAAAGATATCCAGGACTTGAACTCAGCTGTGGACCAAGCGGACCTAATAGACATCTACAGAACTCTCCACCCCAAATCAACAGAATATACATTCTTCTCAGTGCCACATCACACTTATTCCAAAATTGACCACATAACTGGAAATAAAGCACTCCTCAGCAAATGTAAAAGAACAGAAATCACAAAAAACTGTCTCTCAGACCACAGTGCAATCAAATTAGAACTCAGGATTAAGAATCTCACTCAAAACCGCACAACTACATGGAAACTGAACAACCTGCTCCTGAATGATGGCTGGGTAAATAACGAAATGAAGGCAGAAATAAAGATGTTTTTTGAAACCAATGAAAACAAAAATACAATCTACCAGAATATCTGGGACATATTTAAAACAATATGTAGAGGGAAAATTATAGCACTAAATGCCCACAAGTGAAAGCTGGAGAGATCTAAAATCAACACCATACCACCACAATTAAAAGAACTAGAGAAGCAAGACCAAACACATTCAAAAGCTAGCAGAAGGCAAGAAATAACTAAGATCAGAGCAGAACTAAAGGAGACAGAGACTCAAAACACCCTTCAAAAAATCAGTGAATCCAGGAGCTGTTTGTTTGAAAAGATCAGCAAAAATGATAGACCATTAGCAAGGCTAACAAAGAAGAAAAGAGAGAAGAATCAAATAGAGGCAATAAAAAATGATAAAGGGAATATCACCACCAATCCCACAGAAATACAAACTACCATCGGAGAGTACTATAAACACCTCTACACAAATAAACTAGAAAATCTACAAGAAATGGATAAATTCCTAGACACATACACCCTCCCAAGACTAAACCAGGAAGAGGGTGAATCTCTAAATAAACCAATAACAGGTTCTGAAATTGAGCCAATAATTAATAGCCTACCAACCAAAAAAAGTCCAGGACCAGATGAATTCACAGCCGAATTCTACCAGAGGTACAAACACAAGCTGGTATCATTCCTTCTGAAACTATTCCAGTCAATAGAAAAAGAGGGAATCCTCCCTAACTCATTTTATGAGGCCAGCATCATCCCGATGCTGGCAGAGACACAACAAAAAGAATTTTAGGACAATATCCCTGATGAACATCAATGAGAAAATCCTCAATAAAATACTGGCAAACCAAATCCAACAGCACATCAAAAAGCTTATCCACCACGATCAAGTTGGCTTCTTCCCTGGGATGCAAGGCTGGTTCAACATACGCAAATCAATAAACGTAGTCCATCACATAAACAGAACCAGCAACAAAAACCACATGATTATCTCAATAGAAACAAAAAAGGCCTTCAAGAAAATTCAACAGCCTTTCATGCTAAAAACCTTCAGTAAACTAGGTATTGATGGAACATATCTCAACATAATAAGGGCTACTTATGACAAACCCACAGCCAATAGCATACTGAATGGGCAAAAATTGGAAGCATTTCCTTTGAAAACCAGCACAAGACAAGGATGCCCTCTCTCACCACTCCTATTCAACATAGTTTTGGAAGTTCTGGCCAGGGCAGTCAGGCAAGAGAAAGCAATAAAGGGTATTCAGATAGGAAGACAGGAAGTCAAATTGTCTCTCTTTGCAGATTACATGATTGTATATTTAGAAAACCCCATTGTCTCAGCCCAAAATCTCCTTAAGCTGATAAGCAACTTCATTCAGCAAAGTCTTAGGATACAAAAATCAATGTGCAAAAATCACAAGTATTCCTATACACCAATAATAGATAAACAGCCAAATCATGAGTGAACTCCCATTCACAATTGCTACTAAGAGAATAAAATACCTAGGAATACAACTTACAAGGGATGTGAAGGACCTCTTCAAGGAGAGCTACAAACCACTGCTCAAGGAAATAAGAGAGGACACAAACAAATGGAAAAACATTCCATGCTCATGGATAGGAAGAATCAATATCGTGACAATGGCCTTACTGCCCAAACTAATTTATAGATTAAATGCTATCCCCATCAAGCTACCACTAACTTTCTTCACAGAATTGGAAAAAACTAAAGTTCATATGGGACCAAAAAAGAGACTGCATAGCCAAGACAATCCTGGGCAAGAAGAACAAAGCTGGAGGCATCACGCTACCTGACTTCAAACTTTACTACAAGCCTACAGTAACCAAAACAGCATGGCACTGGTACAAA